TACAATAAAACTCGTGGAATTCACTGTCGAATATTTTTAATTTCACGAACTAGAAAAAGGACTTGTGATCCCAAAAACTACGTTCAGCGTTTCGAGGTGGTAGACTAAGATATCTGTTTCCAATTGCAAGCGAGAGAAAACCCTGTAAACAAAGATTATGGCGTTAAAATGCAAATATAATGAGCAACTCCGAGATGAAAAGTGATGTACAAATACGGAAATTTAATTAACACAGGATACCATTTTCAGTTTGTGGAGTACCTATGGAAAAGTGTTAAGTATCCGCGGTCCTAAATGGTTACCATCATCCTGGATCTTTTCGTGACCTTTCAGAGGCCTTCAAACAAGCTCACGAAGTGACACCAAAAATATCTCGGGATCTTTTAGAGTTCTTTCTGTTGACTTTTACTTTTGCAAACAAGTTTTGATAAAAATAATTGATACTGTCCTATAAATAATGAATAGCACATTTCAAGGAAAACGAGGTTTCGAGTCCCCAAGAACATGCTAACTCAGATTTTGGTTTTAAGAAGACATGACAAGTAACCATCTGTCCTTTCAGAGGCCTTTTGTTAAGTTTTAGCTGCGTTTGTTCCTTTTTTCTAGTGGCGTTTTCTTTTTTCAGTTGCGTTTTGTGTGTATAATTATGTGTGTGTGTGTCTGTTTGTGTGTGTGTGTCTGTGTCTGCGTGTCTGTGTTTATGTGTCTGTGTGTGCATGTATGTGTGTGTTTGTGTGTGTGTGTGTTTGTGTCTCTGTGTCTGTGTGTTTTGGGCAAGCTGTCTACTACCCTAGATGCTGCCGAAGTAATTTTTGTTTAATTGTGTCAAGGTATGAGTTAAGCGACAGAAATAATAACTTAAATTCCTTCATTAAACAACGTGGGGAGTTAACGATATAGGGATTAATGATTATCCATTAAAAACTTACTTAAGCTTATTAGCTCACCGCTGACACAAACTCACTGCTGCCTCCAAATCTCCTCGAAACACACAATCTATTGAGCAGATCACAGCAGCTCTCTATTAGTATAGCTTTCCAGACAGTCTGTCATTGCCGAGAACAGCCACTATTACCTTTAGCTATAGATCACAGAATCCTTTTAGACATGCACAGCATATACATTCTAGAACATTCTGAAAGCCTATGACTTAACTATTATAGCAGATTTACATCATAATTACATAAAGTAAAAGAATGCTTGAGAAAGTTCCTTGGTATCTCATAAGTTTGAAAGTTAGAGTATCCATGTCACCGTGACCAAGCGGCATGCATTCTAAAAATTTCCAGGAAGAACTATTTACATTTCAGTATCCATAACAATTGAAAACTGTAGAAATTGTTGTCAAGTTCGTATTGAGTGTCATCGTTTCCACTCGATATTGTAACCTAAACTGGAATCTAATGTAGAAGCGAACCGAATGCGTACGTCAGGTACGAGTCAGTTGAAAGTCGAAGGGGCGTTGGTTCTGAAACCGTTCGCTTCGAACTGGATGAAATAATTGCTGAATTTCGCATTTTAAGACGACAGGGAGCACTTAGAGATGTCTGAATAAACTCACACAAAAGAAGAAAAAAAAACGATTCATGTCTCGTGCGATTGAGATCAGCGCGGAAGGAGCATCAAAGGGACATGGTGGTCCGTTTGGAGCCGTGGTTGTTAAAGATGGCGAAATTGTTGGTATAAAAGCTACTATTGCTATTCAAATCTAGCTTCTTTCCTTTAAGTTAAGCATCAGCACAAATTTAATCTGGTCTATGATTCGACATAAGAGCTAGTTTCAGACTTTTTAAGCAACGTCAATGGTGTTGAAAACTTAACATTTGTCATCTCTTTTACATAATCTAATGATCACACATCTTCATTTGAATAAGCTCGAGATTTCAAATTCGTTTGGGGGGTGAGGCATGCACAAGCGTTTTACATAGACTGGTCATAACCAAATAAAATCAAATTTCACCCACCACCAACCCTTTGAGCTGCTTTGCCTTGTTAGTTTTAAGGTGTTAACATATTGGCTTTTTCGTGTAGGATTCCTTTATTTGATTACATGCACGTAATTGAAGGAAAATCATGTCAGGAGATCAGTTTTGTTATTCAGATAAATCTGCCAATAACGCTTTAAATCTAATTAAAGGAAAGCCCTTAGCCATGCTGTTATTTCTCTAAATGCATGGGTGGAGAGCAGTTCTTATGTTCAAGTTTTTTTTTTTCGCTGTGTTGTAATAGCGTAACTTAACAGCAGTGAAGTAACCTGCATGGATAGCCTACTTAACTAGCCGGACACTTGTGATGATTTTGATCCAAAGAACTTATTGTAACCTTGCTGTAAACTTTCCATTTATTTTCATTGCATCAAAAAAACAGCATAGCCTTCATAATAGCTTCATCCACAAGTTATTTCTTATGGTAAATTTTTAACTAATGCTCGTTTACTTTCATTTAGGTGAAGGTTATAACCGAGTTTTTGTTGACTGGGATTCAAGTGCCCACGGAGAAGCGAAAAACCTGGGAACGTTTGAACTGACAGGATGTAGTTTGTACACAAACTTTGAACCGTGCCCGATGTGTGCTGCTACGATTTGGTGGAGCAAGTATGCAATTATTGGAAATTTTCATTTTGAGGGTGCTCTTGATCCTACAGACATTGAGATAAGGCATTGCTGAGTGAATAGTATTAGATTACCACGTATCTGACTCTGGGTTAGATTCCAGTTTAACAATAGGGCTCAAAAACGCACCATTTATGGTCACTTTCGTTGTATATGTCGAATGCTGAATAGAGAGGTCATATCAAGGGAAAAAACTGCAGACTGAATACTCATCATTATACTTTGTTTTTATCGTCATGTTCATCACGGTATATATTT